GAACTGCTAGGTTGGCAGAAGCTGGGACAAGTAACGGGAGCTCACTCCGTTAGGTGATGCTAGTTGGACTCTGATACCTCTATTTCCACGAAGGCAAAAGCCTATTTCAAGTGCAGTGTCTCTGTATGCTGGTTTGTGTGTTCTCCAACACAACTCTCACAACGCTTTTCTGAACGCACTCGCTCTCCCAATGGGGAGCTTACCTAACACTATCAATTGTTTAATTCTGTAACTTTTAGTACTGGTGACCAAGTTTATTATTATTTCATTTTAGTATTATTGGCCACGGCAAGAGAGAATTTGAATAAATCATGGAACCCACACATACAATTCTGGAAACAGAATGCTTTATAAGATGCCTGGACTTCAACTCCCAGAATCCCCCAGCCAGAAACACTGTTTGAAAGGCACCCTTGCATAAGGAGTCGCTTACTTCTCCACGATCTGCTGGCGGGCGGTTTCGGCCATTTTGCAGGCGGTCTGCGCTTTTTCCAGGAGTTTGGCCACTTTGCCCTCCAAGTCGGCGTAAAATTCCTTCCCTTCTTGAGACTTCTTCATCAAGTCTTCGTAGGCTTCATATGAAGCCACCAAGGTCTGGAGGGTGGTGTTCCACCTGCACGGAGTGAAGGAATGGAGGAGTGAAAAAAAGAGGGATGCGAGGACCAAAACAATTTTTCCCTCCGGCAGATGAAAACAGAGTCCTCAATTTACGGCCAGTCCCTTTCACAACCGTTCAATGTTAACAACAGACCTGCTCAGGATTACAACATTGTCCTCGACATACGACTCCAACTGAGCCCAGAATTTCTCATCGGCAAGCCTCATCCCGGCCACCGTTCTTAAGCGAATCGCTACAGTCGTTTAGCAAGTCACCACATTGTTAAGTGAAACTGAGCTTTCCCGTTGGAGCCAAAGAGGATTGTGGGACAAGGTGACTCTGCAACCGTCGTAAAGATGAGTTGCTTGCCAAGTGCCTAGATTTTGATCCCAGGAAAGTCGCAAGGGTGAAAAACGGCCCTTAGTCGCTTTTTTCAATGCCGTTGTAACTTCGAATGGCCACTAAGTGAACTGTTGTAAGTCAAAAATTGTATCTGCGAGAAAACCTAACGCTCCTCCTCCTCCTCCTCTCTGTACACCCCTTGCCTTCTAGCACTGATGATGTTACCTAGCTGGGTCATGAAACATCTGCAACAGAACCACCAAGCTCAGAGAGCACCCAGGACCCCTCTCTTCCTATTCCCCCTCGTTCTCCTCCACTCCACAAACCCCCCCTCTCTTCTCACACTGATTTTGTTTCCTACTTGGGCCGTGAGACATCTGCAAAAAAACCTATAAAGCTCAGAGAGGACCAAGAACGGCACAACGAGATGTCCATGCAGGACAGATCTTAAGTGGACAGGTTGACGTCCTCCCACCTCCCAGAAAACAGTTGAGAGGGTTCTTCCTAACCACTCATGCTCGCTGCCCTCAGCCAAAGCAACGCCTCATCCTGCCCGATTCGGCCAGACTCACTTGTGCTCCACCTCTGCCAAGATCTTCCGGACGGCGGCATACTTGACGTTGGCCTCCGTCAGAGCTTTGAGGATGTTCTCCTGGGCAGCCAGGTTCTGCTCCAAGTAGACTTTGATCTGGTCGTACTTCTTCAGCTGCTCCGCAAAGAGCTTCTGGAACAAGAGGGAGGCAAGCTGGATGGGGGATTCTGGGAGTTGGAGTCCTCCCCTCTTAAACGTGACCAACGGGAAGGATCCTGCTACAGAACCCAGCAAGGACTTCCTCGTCCCCCTCTGACCCTCCCTCCGCCGCACGAGGACCTTCCGTTTGGGCCCATCCTAAGCCACGGTTACATCCCGGCTTCTCACCTTCATCTCGGACTGGTTGGTGGTCACCAGAGAGGTGGTGAGGTCGTCCTTCTGGATCATCTCGCGGAGCTGGTGCTCCAGGGAGACCCGCTGGTCTCTCATTTCTTGCACTTTGGCCAGTAAACGCTTGACATTCTGGATGGCTTGCTGGTCATCTGTAGGGGAGACCTCAGTCAGGGGTGTGTGTGTGGGGGGGGTGTAAAAGTGATGTCAACACCTCCTTCCAAAAATTGCACCCTGTTTCTCTCCCCCCCCCCCCCCCCCCCCCTCCCCCCCCCCCCAAAATAAAAAGAACCAGGGGGAAAACCCCTGAATTGGAAAGACGAAGCAGGAAGCTGTCGGTTCGTGCACACTCCAACAGCAAAGCCAAAAAATCAAATTTCATTTTTGGGAAACTGAGGACGGGTGCTCCTCAATGTACGACTTTTCACTTAGTGACGGGCCCAAGGGACGACAGAGAAAAAAGGAACCAATGGCCCATTTTCACAATTATGAGGAAAGTCCTGTGATTTTACATAACCCTTAATCTTTAACCCTCACCATCTACCCTACCCTAAACCTTAATCCTTAAGGCTAAATCCCACTCCAATCCAATCTCTTAACCTTAACCCCCATCCCTAATCTTCAACTCTAATTGTAATCCTTAATGCTTAACCCTAATCCCTCACTCCACTCTACCCCTCATTCTTAATCCTCAACTCTAATCCCTCACCCTTAACCCTAACAATCCTTAATCCTTAACCCTCACCCTCACCCCTAATCCTAGCTCCTAACCTTTAACCTTAGTCCCTTAACCTCTAACCCTTANCCACCAGCTGAGTGCAATTATTTCCTGTAACTGCGTAACTGCTCCTTACGCCTATTAGCTCTTCGTTGCCGGGCATCCAGGAACAACTCCCTTGTCTCCTCTCCACTGCTCCAATGCATGACTTCAGGATCACACTCCCTTGTCTCCTCCCCACTGCTCCAAGGCTCAGGCACCTCCTGGTGGCCAACCAGCCTCTCTGCGCCCACTACTCACTACGGACAACTCACTACAGAAAGCTCACTACAGACAACTCGCTACGGCCAATGTCAGGGTTCCAAGGAACACCCCCAAAGAAAGAAGACTCCGAGGCTAGAAATTCCTCAAAGTTCCATTTTATTAGAGGTGTCATATTGGCATATCTGGGAAAATCTGAATCTGAAAGCTTCCAGGTTTTCCCCACCCAAAAGGAAGTCCAAGCCCTTTCCCCTGCCCCCACATGTCCACCACACGGCCCAATCAATGCACCGTCCCAACTGGAGAAGCTTCCCAGTCACGCCACTCTGGGTGCAGGGCAGGATGCCCTTGACTCTCAGAGAAAAGAATGTTGTTATGGCTAGGTATCCCTGCACCCAGTTTCCCACAGCACTAAGTGTGGCAGCCCTAAAGGTCTGAGAGAAAAGATGGCCTCTGGGCCTGACAGCCAACTCGCTGCAGCGACGCTACCGTCAACTCACCATGTGACCATTCTCCACTGCCAACTCCCTGAGGGAGAACTCGCCATCATCAACTCGTTGCAGGATGACAAAGTCAATTCCCCGCAGGACAACTCGCATGGGGACAACGTGCCAGTCAAAAATAACCGTGTGACACTTGGCGCCTGACAGTTCATCGAAGCCAACTTGCGGTGGAACCGCTGGCCGCAATCAACTCACTGCGGGACAACTCTCCGTGGGCAACTTGTTGCGGGATGGCAAACTCAGCTCGCTGACTGACAACTTAGCACAGCCAACTTGCCGCGGGACAACTTGCCGCGGCCAAGTCATTGCGGGACAACTCGCTTTGACCAACTCGACCGCGGGATAACTCGCCACAATCAACTTGTTGCGGGGTGCCAAAGTCAATTCGCCATGGGAGAACTAGCTGCGCGACAACTCACCCCAACAATTCGACGCAGCCAACTCACTGCGGGGAGAACTCTGCATGGTCCATTTGTGGCGGGATGCCAAAATCAACTCACCACAGCCAACTCATGATTTTGAAAAGTAATTATTTTCATTTCGGTCATTCCCATTTCACTCTGTCCCTCCTTTTGAATCCTTTCTTCGTAACAATTCTATTCCACCACTTCTTTCATATTAGTGTAACCCTTGTCCAGTGTCGTTGTCTGGTGTAGAGTTGGCCGAAGCAAATTGACTGTTGGCTGCGGTTAACTATCATATGCCCTCCCAAAAGACCCAGGATGACAGGGGCAAGATTAGCAGTGGGCTCCTTCCTGGATACCCCAAAGCTCTGGGGCATTCCTCATGCGGCCCACTCCCCTGTATTACCTGCAGTGGACCACAATGGGGGTGTGGAGGGGGCGCTGATGTAGGTAATGGCTGTGGACGTCCTGGATGAACCGAAGTAGGTTTCCTTTGCTGTCCGGCAGGCCCCTTCAGCAAGAGTTCAAGAGGTGAATGAAAAACATAAAAATTGAGTGAATGAAATTAAAATACCACAGATAAACTTAATAGGTGAGATATTCAATTATTCATTCAATTTATATATTCATTGCTTCATTCATTCATTTGTATGTTGTTTATTCCTTCTTTCATGCCATCGTCTATTCTTTATATATGTATTTTTCTTTCATTCACCCAATTTATACACTTTTCATTTATCCATTTCAGTTTACATGTGGATTATTCATTCATTAAATTTATGCACCTTTTTAATTCCTTCATTTAATTTACATGCATTTTTCCATTCACTCATTCATACATGGTTTTTTTTCATTCAATAGTAAAGTTTATACCGTAGGTTTCCTTTTCAATCAAATTAAATTTAATCTTAATTTTTTTTATGTATTTCTTTCTTACATATGGTATTTTCTTTCATTCCTTTGCTCATTTTTATTCGCTGTTTTCATTTTTCAGGTGGTTTTATGTATTAAATTTATATGCATCTTTTTATTCATTCTCATTAAATTTGTATGCATCTTTTCGTTCATTCTCTCATTAAACATATGCATCATTTAACTTTCATTAAATTTGTATGGAGCTTTTCATTCATTCACACATTAAATTTATATGCTTTTTTCATTTTTCATGTTTTTTTATATTATATTTTTATATGCCCTTTTTACTTTCATTCATTCATTAAATTCATGTGGATTTTTTTGTCTTTCATTCATTCAATTTATACTTTATTCATTCAGTCCTGTGCTTTTTTTCCATTCACTTGTTACATTTATAGACCCTTTTCCATTCATTTGTTCATTTATTAAATTTACATGGGGTTTTTTCTTTCATTCGTTCCATTTATACATTTTTTTCATTACTTCATTGAGATGGGGTTCCCCCTTCCCCCATTGACTTATGGAATACATATGCATTTTATTCATTCATTTTTTTTTTCATTTTTATTCATTCATTCATCCTGCCTGCTGTCCATTGATCAGTTGATCCAGCAGTTTCGATGAAACCAGTCCCTGAAGCCCAGAAAAACTTCCCACCCATCTCTTGCCCCCAAACCAGGCTGGCCCACCCACCACTCCACTCTGGGTGGCTCCTCCCCTTCCCACTGGCCCACAGGGTTACATACAGCTCTGGCCAAGAGGAAAACTGAAGGTGGATAACAGTCCGTTTGAGACTCTGATCACAGAACTGCAGCGTGATCATCCTCTCCAGGTGGGTAGGGGTGGCCTTCAGGCTGGTGAGGACCAGGGTGATGGGGCCGTGGACCATGGGCTGGCCTCGCTCCGTTGGGAAGTATCGTACCACTTTTTGCTGCCGAGCCAAGATGGAGAGAAAAAAAAATTAAGGGGGGAGATGATATCGAGACTCCCCTCCAAAGATGGGGTCCCAGGGGAGATTTCTGCTTGTTCAGAACAAGACTCCAAGCTCCATCAGCCGTTGTTCTTCTGGCTGGGACTGAGCTCAGAACTCAAGAGGTGTGGAAGAGGGTGGCTTCTCATCCTGCCAACCCCATCCAGGAGAGCTGAGGAGGATGGATGTTAGAGTCCTGATTTGAACAAGCAGAATGGGAAAAGCCAGTTACGGCCAATTTATTTGTGCTCTTTCAGCTTGGCTGCTTTTTTTTTGCAGACGTTTCATGACCCAACTAGGTAACATTATCAGTGCTAGGAGAAAGAGGAGGAAAAGGAGGATTGCACAATCCTTGGTGCTAGGTTTGGTAGTTTCCTTGCAGCTGTTTCATGACCCAACTGGGTAACATCATCAGGGCTAGAAGGGAGTGGAGTTTTCAGAGGAGAATGACTGTGGGGGACTTTGGTGGTCTCTGAGCTTGCTGGTTTTCCTGCAGACATTCCATGACCGAACTACGGAATGTCATCAGTGCTATTTGAGGAGTGGGGTTTCAGAAGAGAACTGAGGGAATCCTTGGAGAGCTGTGAACTTGGGTTGTTTTCTTGCAGACCCAATTGGGTAACGCCATCAGGGCTAGAAGGGAGTAGAGTTTGCGGAGAGGAGGACAAGGACAAAGAGAAGGGAAAGAGGAGATGGAAAAGGGGAAGAAGTAGAGAAGGGGAGGGGGGAAAGAGTATCCCCCACCCATCCTATCTCCTCTGCCCCCAAAGCAGAAGAGGGCACCCCACTTCTGAAGTCACCCTCTTCTGCTCGATAGCCCCTCTCCACTGCATCCGATCTAGGAATGTATTTAATTGATTTTTATTACATTTACATGCCACGCATCTCCCCAAATCGCTGCCCCGGGCAGCTGGTTGGAAATGTCCGAAGCTCAGAGAGGGTCCCGTTGGATCAAAGACCCATCTCCGTGTGCTGCCAGAACGTCGTCTGGGTCAGCAGACTGCCAAGAGGCCTGGAGGCTTCCGACCAAAGCCACGGCCGTCAGCAACCAACCCACCTTCTCCATCTCCTGCTCCGAGACCAGCATGACCACAAGGGAGACTTTCTGCTCGTAGATCATCAGCCAGAAGTCCGAGGCGGTGCCCACGAGCGGGGCCTGCGTGGCGATAATGGTGGGGCAGTAGCAGGAGAGATCCTCAATACGGCTGGCATTAATGTAATCATCCTTGCCCGACTGAAGGATCACTCGGTTCCGGTCGTACGGCATGATGTCCTGGTGTCGGTTCTTCATGGTGTAACAACGCGCGATGGCGATTGACAGCTGCCGCGCATCCTTCTCCTGGGTGTCCTGAAGCTCTTTCCAGATATTGTCTAGCTCGCTGACCGTGCCTGGCGCGGGGGTCTTCTCCAACCGGGATACCCCTTGTTGGAAACGTTCTAGCTCGGACAGGAGGCGCCAAAGACGCTCCGGTTTCTCGTACGGGTCGTTCTCGATCAGCTGGACGGCTTTGGGCTTCAAGCCGTCCTTGGCATCGGCCTTGGTGGGTTGAAGGAGGGGCTGCCCGACGGGGGCCTTGGGACCCCCATGCTGGCTCTCGGGGCTGGAGGAGAGCAGGTCATCGGTCGAGGAGCTCGGGCGCTGGAAGGGGACCTCGGAGGCCGCGTGGGGCAAGGACGGGGGGCCGGGAGTCAGCGAGGAGGGGGGCATTTGGGAGGGCAAGAGGCAGGGAGGTGGGAGGGTCATGGAGGGGCGAGGAGAGGGAGCCGGTGGGGGAACAGCCCCTCCGACAGAACTCGGGGCAGGAGGAACGTGTTGGAGGGGAGGATGGCTAACTGGAGGCGGTGGCTGAGGGCCGGCCAACCCTACGGGGACTCCCGGGATCTGGGCCGACGTTGGAGTAAACGCCAGGGGTGCTGCAGCACCGTGACGGTGAAGGGGGACCTGCTGGACGGGGCCCATCATGCTTCTTGGGGCCGGGGCGGAGAAGGCGAGGTTCCCTGAATGGGGCGGCAGTGGGTCTCGCGGTGGCAGCTGATAATGTTGAGGTCCCAGCTGATGTGGGAGGTGTCCTTGGCTAGCGGGATGTGTGGCGACCGGATTCGGGAGCCCCGGTCGGCCTGAAGGCTGAGATGGGTACGGTTGTGGAAAGGCTGGCTGTGGCTGCTGGGTCTGGGGCAGGAAGTGGGGCATTGGCTGCTGCTGCTGCTGCTGCTGTGAGGGTAGCATGTTGGACATCGTTTGCAAGCAAGCAGGGCGATCGGAGGGTGGATGGATTGGTCCCTGCGATGGGAAGCCAGGTTGGGCCTGAGGGCCTGAGAAAGGAGGCCGGAAGGGAGCCGTACCTGCTGGCACATAGGCAAAAGGGTAAGGGGCAGACCCTGGGGGCCCTCCCACAAAGCCCCCTTGAGAAGGAGGTCCTGCCCACTGGGGGAGGGAGCCGGACATCCCTTGTGGAGCCGTGCAACTGGAGATGGGGGCTTGCAGGCTGTCCACTGTGGTAGTGGCGGGCCGTACACCCTGCGTGTGCGGTGGGAAATGAGGAGCCACAAAGTGGCCAGACACCGGGATTGGCGGTCTCATGGCTAGAGGGGTGGGTGGGCCAGCCGGCAGCACCCCACTAGATGGCGCCATCGGTCCGACCCCGTAAACCGACCCTGGGGGAGGACGAGACATTGGTACGTGTTGTGGGGATGTCCTTGAAGGTGGCAGAGGTGGACCTGGATACACCGGCTGATGTGGGACGTGGGCTGGGACTCGACCAGTGGCAACCCCCGGTGGGTAGACCTGTGAATTCGGCAAAGGAGACGCTGTAGAGCTGCGGGGAGCTAGTACAGGGAAAGGAGCTTGTCCAGAGGCAGTGGACATCCTGGCTGGCTGGTATGGTCGAGGAGGGGGTCCGGTTACTGGGAACTGGCCCGGGTCAAAGGGTGGCCTGAGCGGGAGGACCCCCGCAAAGGCTTCACCCACAGGATTCCTGATCCCTGCAGTGGGCAAAGGCGGCTCACTACGTAGCGCGGCCAGAGCATCAGCGGGGAGTTGCGCCAGGTGAGCGGCCAGGACTTCCGGCGGGAGGCTACGCAGCTCCTCAGGCAAATCGGCCAGCGAGATGGAGGCCAGGCCCAGTGGCTCGCAGGCCAACTCTGCCTCCGAAGCCTTCTTTTGGAGGACGGGTTTCGAGGTGGTGGGCCGTGAGGGAGCCTTCTTCTTCATCTCCCTGTTGGAAGAAGAACAGAGATGGAAGCGGTGAGGCTGAGCACGGAGGTTTGGTAGGGAAAATCACTGAGAGACTAAGAGCTGAAAGACCACGCAGGGGTGTTTTTGGATAGGACTAGGACAACTTGGCACAGCCAACTGACTGCAGGATAACTTGTCACAGGACAATTCAATATTGTATCTGTTAGGAATATAATCTAANTGTGTGTTTTTTAAATTATGTATTGTTATGTTCCGTCTTTTTTATTTCTTGTCTGTACCCCCATCTCCTGATTTGAATTGTGAGCTGCCCTGAGTCCCCCTTGGGGAAAAGGGCGGCATATAAATGTAATAAAATCAAATCAAATCAATCAAATCAAATCAATCAAATAAAAATGGAATAAAAAATAAGAAAAAATAGAAAAACCAACAATGAAATGAAATAGAAATAAACAATAAAATAGAATAAAATAAAATAATTAAATAAAAATAAAAGAATGAAATTATATAAAATAAATAAAACAATAAATAATAAAGTATAAAATAATAATATAATAACCTATAAAATAACATAATAAATAACATAATAAAATATAAAATTATAAAATATAAAATAATAAAAATTATAAAATAATATAATAAAATATAAAATAATAAAAATATAATAAAGTATAAAATAATAAAGTATAAAATAACAAATAAAACTAAACTAAACTAAACTAAATTTAAACCAAACCAGATTTGCCCAGTGGGTCGTTTCTTCCCCCCACTTCCAGGGCTGGGAGATGAGGCTTCCAAGGCTCCCCAGAGACTCACCTGGGCACTGATCCTAGCCACCAGGAAGCTCTTCCGGTTGTCCAGCATGGATTTCTCCAGGAGACATTCCTGAGCTTGACCCTTGACAGAAAAGGAGGATACGGCGTTGGGAGTGCACCTGATTCGGACCTGAGATCTGAGGAGCTGTGGGTCATCAGGTCACACCTTCTCCCCCCCCCCCCAAGCCCCTGGGAGATAAACAGAAACTCTGGTGTCCTAATCACTTGCATTGGACTGTGCGAATGGCCTTGGGGGAAGAGGGGAAGAGGCTGCCAAGGAAACCATCAGATAAGCCCTCGATATCCAGCAGGTTCTCACAGGTTCTGGAGAACCGGTAGTGGGAATTTTGAGTAGTTCGGAGAACTGGCAAATGCCACCTCCG